ATCCAATCCTGAGTTGGATTAGCAATTTTTTACAGGAACGACGACTAGTGGTGAGAGTCCGAGAATCATTTTCTCATGTCATCGATGTGACGTGTGGAGTGCCACAAGGCTCGGCTCTTGGACCTCGTCTATTCTTGGTGTTCATTAACGATTTGGCGAGATCAATTACTTCCGATTTCCTATTTTTCGCTGATGATATCAAGATATGGCGAAGGATCAGAGGACCGGACGACCATGAACGGCTCCAGCACGATCTTAACACAGTGTCGAACTGGTCAGTTCAAAACGCCCTACCGTTCAACATAGACAAATGTTGCGTTGTACAATTACGCCATTGACATAAGATCGCCTATATACTTGGGACAAACGGATTGCAGAATAGCTCCCAGGAACGTGATCTTGGTGTGATCGTACAGAGCGACCTCAATTGTTCAAAACAGGCTGAGGTAGCGGCGAAAAGAGGCAACCAGCACGTCGTCATGCTGCGAAGGGCATTCGGGAGATTTGACCCATCAATCTTCCCAATGATGCACTATTCCTACATGCGCCCGCATGTTGAATACGCTATCCAAGCTTGGCAACCTTGGTTGAAGCGCGACCTAGAAGCGATAGAGGCACCACAACGAAGAGCAACTAAGAATGTAAAGAGCCTGCACTATCACTCTTACCACCGAAGGCTGAAGTTGCTGGAATTGTCAGCGGACGCTATCGAAGGCTGCGCGGCGATCTCATATTAGCGTATCTGATACTGAGTGACGCCAACCACGTATGCCGCCATTTGCTGAATCTTAGCCACAACACGCAGCTCAGAGGTAACTGCTTAAAGTTGAAGGAACAATATAGTCGTCTAGAGTGTCGACGTAATTACATTTCCTTTCGGGTTTGCCGACTCTGGAACGCACTCCCAGATTCAGTTGTGTTCTCTCCTACCTTGGATGTTTTCAAAAAACGATTAGATGTTGCTCTCAGCTCCCAACATTTTGTTACCTAAGCTCCTCTATTCTGGATTACGTCAAGCATATTCTCCACAGGATTTATGTATCAAATGGACCTAAGTGAGCGACCATATTTTACTTTTATCACTTCTTACCTCAACAATCACTACACCCCAGTTTCTTTCTGAACGTTTACGCGCGATAATATTTTTCATTTTACACTGATGTTAATTATCAAAGTATTCATCTCGGCAAACGTTCGATAGATGACCCAGACATATTTTACTTGCATCATATTCACCGCAGCCAACCTACGGGACGTGTCAAGCACTTGCTTTTATCCCGTGATAAATCAGTGTTCAGTGTTCATTGTTCATTGTTCAGTTTGTTGTACTATTTATCGAACCAATGTGGTTTGACTGGCCCAACTTTTCGAAACTTGAGGGGTACAAATCGGGCGCACAACGATTTCACTCCCTCTTTAATGATAGTCCAACAGGTTTCAATAGATGAATCCTGTGGTAAAGACCAGTCTATCTGGATCGCTGCTCGAATGAGGCCATTAAAGTCCGCCTTCCAATAGTTGAAGGCTGGTTCCAGTGGGGGAGAATACGGCAGTGGAAGTTCCATGCTGCCTATGATCATCGAGTGGTCACTCGCTCCCAGAGGCTCTAAGACTTGAATGTTATGCACACGCTGCTCACAGCCAGTCAAAAGTAGGTCTAAGCATGATGGAGTCGCACGCGCAGTAATGCGTGTCGGTTGGTTGATGTGCTGTGTGGCCCCGGTTTCAAATAGCAACTCCGTAAACTTCCTCTCGGCTTCACAGTCGCCCGGGAGAAGTTCAGCTTCAGGCCACTGTATTCGGGGTAAGTTGAAATCACCCATGAGTAGGAACATCTGACGACTTAAGTGGTTGCGGACATGCGGCAACCAGTCCAAACTGCGGCTCAGTGGACTGCGATATAATACGCCTACGAGCAACTCGCAGCGTCTGAGGTGAATGGTACACCATAACTGCTCACATAGACCATCAGTGCTTTGGTAGGCGCTCAATAGTCTCCCACACAAGGAAGACTTTATGTAAAGTAGAACGCCACCACAATTATTTGATGATCTATCACAGCGAAAGCATGTGTAGCCGGTGATTTCCACTTCTTGGACGGTTACTTCGGTGTTTAACCATATCTCAGCAAGGCCTTATACGTCTGGTCGCTGAGAGCTTACAAAGTCGTACAGCACATCGCGCTTGTTCACCAGATTCCATACGTTAGTTAGGACTACGTACAGACCGCGGTATTAACCGCTGGGCGAGCCTGAAGCATTAGAAACCTGTTGATTCGAATTCGTGGAGGAATCCGGGCAACTACCCGAAAATTTACAATGCGGAGATTCGGTTCTCCATCCTCCGTGCGTCGCTTTAGTTCAGTTATAGCAGAATTGAGTTTCTCTCTGCCGGGTCTAAGTCCGCGCGGTCGTGAATCTTTAGACCCTTCAGCCTATGAAGACGGGACAAGAGCAACTTAGGACTTGCTTCTTCGACAAAAGTCACGCTCATAGGCCGACTTTTGCCTTCCATTCTCTTTCCTAAACGGGTGATCTGCTGAACTTTGAGCCCGTCCTCATTTACATCGAGTAGTCTATCAATCAATGATTGTAAAAGCTCGACGCCATGAACATAGCGCACCTGGAGATTGGAATCACTTAATTCAGGTGCATGAAAGATCATGAGGCTACGGAGCCTCAGGTCGCTAAATATTGCTCTTGCTTTCTTCGATGTTTGCACTTTCCATTCGTTATCCTTAACTTGCTTATTGCAAATTGGAGGTTCACAGTCAACAGAACACATTGTAGGCCTTGTGGGAGAGCCTGACGGAACATTAGTACCTTGCTTCCAGGATGGATGCGATGTTGTATTAGGCACTGGCTGCTTCCCTGTCTGTGGTGTAGCACAAGGCAAGCTGGTCATTTTAGAGCACATCGTTGTACTGGTCCGCTTGTTAGACGTGTTGGTTCTATTCTGCACAAGTTTAGCTTGACACTGTTTACAAACGGTCTTCAAGAATTCTTTCTGAATGCGATGAATTATACGAAATTGGTCTACAGTAAGACTAACGCACGAAATATAAAGCTTTACACTGCAAAGACTGCATGTAATCGCGTTAGCCCGATGTGCATCGACTTTGCAGCAAATTCCACAAGGTGACTGCTTCGCCATTTCAAAAATGTACCGATCGATAAGCGAAAATCAGTGTTATGAATCTGGACAGAAGTTTGGATAAATTATTACAAGTAGTTATGTCTTAAAACGCCAAAGGATTAACTAGAGCGAATTACCTTAACTAGAGGATGAAACTGCTACAATACTAAAAACAACGAGACAAAACTTTCTTGAAAGGATAGGAGCTAGATACCACCAGGATCGACGGAACAATTAGCAGAACAAAAACTAGAAAATTTTTGCAGTAATGGATCTAAATATATCACTGGATAATTCACAATTAAAAATTATACAGATTTATATAATTTTTGACAACAAATATGAATATAGGACACAAAAATACTGGAATAAACTGGCCTGGGAGCGGAGCCATAAATTTCCAACCGGATGCAGTGGCCTTGACCTTGAGGATGATCCGCTTTATTTGTTGTAGAAATCTGAGCGTTATGACGGCAATTTAGAACTTTAATGAATACTCCGCTTACCGCCGCTTGCACGAAGTATTTCATTCTCGGAAGAAAAAAGTTGAAACTGCAGTACAGCGTTGCTCAATTAGGGTAGGGTTCTCTAGCAAAGGCAAACTAGTCTTTTGACACGCTGTCAAAAGAACTATATCAATATATCTGCCAATTCCACGAAACACGAACTACGGACAGCATCAGCTGACCTACTTCCACCGGTCACTTGGCAACCATATAAATGAAGACTATTTGTGACGTAAATGTATGCAATTTGGTGATACAGTTTCTATGTTGATCAACCTGTACATATGGTACTTTAGATACGGTATTCTAGAGTAGCACGCGTCACCCATACTCGTAATACTTACAGATTACTGATAGGAAGTAATGATAATTGTAACAGCATATTAAGGAAACTATGTGAGCCGCCTGGTTGCATAAACCTATGACGAATACTATAATCTTCAGAGCCATTAGGCATCAGAAATTAATTGTACATCAATGAAGGTTAGCTTGACAAAATTCTACTGAAACAAATATTAGGCGACCATCCTCTTCACATAAAAGCAAACCAGGGATTTGGTAAAGTTGCAAGTAAGTTATCTGTGTTGGCAGAGTGTAGAGGGAAGGACCATATAGACAAAAACGACGTTGTAAGACCTCATATATCAGAAGTTATGAAGGCCGTTTGTAGTGAAAATTGCTAGGTGGTCGTCTTAGGGGGGCCGACCATACCGCAAAATAAATCATTCTAACAGCGTATTTCAGGTGTTCGGACAGGTCATAATCCGCACTGTCGCCTTTGTAACGAAAATGCACAATGAGTTCTTTCTTGGGCATTCTCCTTCTCAGTGGTTTTCCCTTGTTTCCCTCTAAATATTTGAGAATGAATGAGTGAGGAGCCTATCTTATAGGATTCACGAGCACACAGCGAATTGGTTTTACAGGGACGAAGCGAAATCCTGTAATATTTACATCATGTCGCACTTACGGTCACACCGGAACGGAGAATGACTTCAGCGCCATGTACTCATTCCGGAGCGTTTCTGTCGCAGATTCCGGATGCATCTGCTAATTATTGCGGAGGCTATATATATCCGACAGCTCAAGCCGAAGTTTTGCGTACAATAATTGTTTGCATGTTTCTTATTTCTATCGTAGCAAATAAAGAACAAAAAGCACACCATTTTCAAAGCTAGCATCATTTATTGGTTGGAAGTAGAACAGGGACTGCAAAGAGAACATTTGCAAAAGATGGAAAGGATTACTTCTATTAACTTTGAAATGGTCAATATTTAAATACGAAGCTGCTATGTGTGACCAGACAAGATCACCGGTAAAAATGACACTTTATGCGTTTGGTATATCTGTAACAACACTTACTTTTCCCCGAAGTGACACACGGTTTTTTCTAGGTGCATTACTCGTAGCTGATCTCTCCATGTGACCTCGAATAATTGGGTGTATCCTTGAACTTTGACTCCTATGGGTGTCAGTCTTACGGGCGGTATCCTTGAAAGCGTTTTCTACCGAAAGTTCCGTCCTGCTGGTTGTATCACCTAGGTGCAATATACGGAGTAGTGTGATGTGAATATTACACTGTTGTCAGTAGTGCAGAACGAAACCATCAAGCATGAGGAGCAATTCAATCGGAAGCAAACTTTCAACAATTCACTAACATACTCGATAGTCGGGAATGCAGGTACATCAAACTGAATTCTCTCGCAATCCAAATAAAAGGAATGTGGCTACCAGTTTTTGAAACGGATGCACTTCTGACTGTCTTCTTGGCTGTGTGTCCTGAGTCAGTTGATAGGGCATCCGGGGAACCATGAAGTGACACAGAACAGGTAATCTGTTCCAACACCGTGTGCATAAGGAGACATTCCAAGGGCAGTTCGGCTAGCCACAAGTCTGGCAAAATGACCAGGCCATCAGATGGTAAGTCCGATTCGGAACAGGAGTTTTCTACTGTTACCAGATAACTTTGGAGCGATGGCGAATTATCTCTAGACGCAGTAGTGGAAGCTCTGAACCAGGCTTTTGCAATGATGTCCAACAGGGAGCACAATTCTTGCGATTTTGGAGTTAACTCCAACGGAATCTGCGGTGGGGGAAGAAGATAAATGGTTCCACTAGTGATGACAGAATGCAATCGAAACAACCAGCGTTAAAATTGGCTATTTAGTTAAAATTAGTTAGTTGAATTAGGTAGCTAGTCAGTTAACTAGTCGTTTAACTTACAATAAATCGCAAGCTATCTCACTGCTACTACAGGCAGCTACACAACCATGATACTGTCTAGATCACCCATCGTCATCTCACCAAGCGGCATACCGGCAACGCTTGAGATCATGATTCGCCCTAAACTTGCAAAAGCTCATCCTTAAAAAGCTGTAATTGACAGTCGCCTCTTATTCTACTCCTTCCCTTAACGTACAACACAAATAAGTAGGTGCATCGGGCCAGTGCATCGGTAAAAATTCTGAACATCCACTAGGTGAAAGGTCTATCAGGCATTAGATAGTCTGATCTGGCACAGATAGATCCACCATACCATACATTAGTTCTGAATGATTGTCATGAAGCACACCATGTTCGCATCAGCTTTCTCAAATCAACGAGTAAAACACCAAGTTGGAAGTGTTTCGGTGTTGCTTCTCCCCACATTGACATCTCAGGTAACCAGTTGTGTCCCCGGTTGTTCTCATCAGATGCAGATAGCCTGAGCTGGGTTGAAAGTCGGTACCTAATGATTAAAGGCTAATGTTTGCGTCACTATGTCTCTAAAATATGTGTGCAACGCTTGGACGACAATAAGGAAATTAAAGTTGGATTTGAGTACCCGAAGTGTGATTGGGTTGTGACGCATAACCTCGATTGAGGCATCGGTTCCAGCCAACTTAGGCAACGGTCATGCTGAACAAAAGACGGGGTACTAAATGGTGGTGTTTCTATGTTGCTCCTAACAACGCTGACACCCCGTAAGAGGTAATGTCCTCGTTTGAACTTGTCAGGTGAAGATAGCCTGATCTTGGGTGGAACTCAGGACCTAGTGGCTATAGGTTGACGCCTTCATCACCATGGTTCTAACATCCGTGGGTAACGCTTTACACAGTAGTTAGAAATTCAGAGTTGAATTTGGAGTACCCGCTGTGTGGTTGGATTTCGACTCGCAATCTTTATTGGGACCTCAATTCAGTTTGAAGTAAACCTGAGTCATTCCGAGCACAAAGACCGTATCCGCAATAGAGGTGTTTCAGCGTTGCTGCACCCAACACTGGTTGCCCATAACCCGCTTTGTGTTAGTTTGGACTTATCAGATAGAGTTAGTCTGAGCTGGGGTGGAACCCTGCTCTACGGATCTCAGTAGCATAGTGAACAAGGCGTCAGTCGTTAAGCACTTCCAACTCAAATCATTTCCATCAAATGGGTCCACATGATGAGGAAGCCGGTTGTGGGGTGTCAGTTTCGTGAGCAGTAACAAAGAGACACGTATAATACGGATACGATCTACATCAAAGTGGACCGAGGTCTCAAAAGAAATTGCGTGACGCAATCCATCTTCATGGCGAGAACTCCAAATCCAACCCTGAAAATATCAAGTTAATTCGCACTGCTGTTCATGTTCGTTGTATAGAATGAAATCACGGAAAATCTGGGCCACTTGGATACTGTGGACCGTATGCCATTTAACTGTGGCTATGTTCACTCTCAAAGGGTAGTTCCGTGGATAAGCCCCAGCACTGGAATGTTACAACATTTACCGAAATTATACAAACTTCTTTGTTTAGTACTCCGCATGTATTTGCGGAGGTATATCACGAATTCAACATATATATCACACCAAACAAAAATAGTCTCCGAGGCAAATCTGCACCAGTAGCATGGGGCTGGTTAAACTAAGGCTAATGCAATTCATATTAAGTTTTACAAAGGAGTAGTGGTAGGGGCGTTGAATGATGCAGATTGAAATTCAGCACACCTAAACTCAGTCAGGTAGCTTTCACAGCTCAGAAAAGCCCAGTACCGCCGTTTCATCTTTTCGTGAATCGTCAGCAGTGCGCATCTGACCCTCGTAGGGGTCGAATCCACAACTTGATTGTTGCCAGTCCTGCGTTGAAACCACTGAGCTACGTGGGGCGGCAACGACCACCGTGACTAAGTTCGTGGATGTGATATTAGGTGTGATATAGCGCCGAACGTTATCCACTGATTTACAGTTTACTGCTGTGCAGAGTATAGGGTAGCCCCCACACAAGTGACAAACTTACCAAAGTTAAGCCACTGATTAACTTATTACATCATAAGCAGTTTGGTTTGCCTACTGTTTACAGAAGAGTAGTATGGCCCGAATTTCTACCTATACCATTCCATTCCCTGTACTACTCTTCAGTAATCAGTACGCAGACCAAACTGATTATAATGCCATAAGTTAACCGGTGACTTAACTTTGGTGAGCTCCTCGTTTGGTAAGGGGCCTACCCTGTCCTCAGAAGCCTAGTCAGGCAGTGTGAGGCGCTATATCACATCTAGGAACTTATTCACGACGGTTGTTAACGTCCCCTGGATCGCAATGGTCTTAACCACAGAGTAGCAGCAGTAGATCTGAGGGTTCGAGCGCTACAAGGATCAGATAGAATGCCCACTGCTGACGCTTTCCGAAAGCATGAGACGGTCGTACAGTGCTTATCCGGGCTTGTGATGGCTGTCTGACTAAGTCTAGATGTGATGAATTTCTAACGATATCATTAATTTTCATGAGAACCCTCTGCTAAACCTGAAGTGAATAATAGGGAAGTCTAGCTGAAACATGTTAGGTGTCAATTGCTCTCAATTTTACGTTTCACTACTAGCTTCGTTCCTGCTCAGGCTCCTCAAGTTCAGTGTGGGAGGTTGCAGAGATTGCGGTTTGTTGTGTAAATCTCTGCACAACCACGCTCCTCCGGCATCATCCTTACAATGAATAGAAATTCCATATTGATCAACGCGCGGCAATCGTGTACAGAAGCAACTTACAGCATTGAGGAAACTATGCATTATTGCCCCATAACAGAGGCACGGTTAGGTGGCTTGGATTTACTTTAGCAAGGGTCCAAGTGAACTTGGAGTTACCGGATATCATCTACAGTTAACTTAACGACGTTTCCCCAGAGGCAGCACAGTCATGTAGCCTTGTGAGGTTAATCTTGAGGTAGGTAAGGCGAAATACTGATTTGTAATATACTGCAAACTGCAGCAATGTTGACAAAAAGCGCTAGTAAAGCACCCAATCTAAGCTATGATACATTACACCATCACCTACTGGTGATCATACAACATCTAGTGATGACAAAAATCTAACGAAACGCTTAAATTATTGAAACTTTTGGAAAAATCACTAAACTTAATGGTCAGTTCGCAGTAGCTTCCGAAACAAATATTACTTCACATGTCCGAAATAGCACTATACTGCAGTTCAAACCTGTTGGGCATCATAAGAGGATCCGTCAGGATTCGAACACATGATAACTATCGAATTGCAATTCAAATTAGCAACTTATGCAACTGGGCCATGTGGGACAGTTTTGGACCGTCATGGTTTGCAACTTAAGGAAAATATAGCGCGTCTTATCCTCCACTGTCGTGCAAATTACGAACGTCGCAGAGGAAAGTTTCGGTCCCGAAATGCGAGCTCTTTGAGAGTGCTGTGTACAACGTAACAGTTAAAAATGGCAGAGCGACTATTCGAATACAGGCCAGGTGACTTGACTGTCCACACTTTATACACTGGAATGCAGTCCTAAAGATGCGTAACCTAAGCGATGGCTTGAATGCTTGAAAAGCCACACCGGCACACAGCCAGATGGGGTATAGAGGTGCGGGTGAAATCCATTGAGAGGATAACCGGCAGAGAAGCTGGTCACCAAGGGACAGTTCCATGAATGGCCGTATTACTTCACTTATCCGCTTCATTCATCTACACTTATTTATTATTAGTAATTAGGTACTATTATTGTTATTGACTGACCAATTAACCGTGCTCGCCAAAGAGCTTGCGGAATGCTTTAGAAAACTCGAAAAATGTGACCTCTGCTATTTGCGATTCTGCCATACACCAAGAATCGTAGCATCCAGCTGGACTTTTCTTCGCATCGACGAAGAATATATTGTCGTTTTTTATTCTCAACAACTTCATATTGGCCATTCAAGAGCATGGTGCTACCTGTACATATTTGCTCTGTGCCAACTATCAACGCAGCTTCTCACTTAAAAAGAAAAATATCCATAATTATTATTACTTACGGGTAGCGAACTGTTGAGGTAAATTCCTCGGGGTTTCTTACCATCGGCTTCCTAATGACATAGTCCTTTGTAACATTGGTTCCTTGTCTGGCCGTAAAGAACAACATGCTCTATATCGCTGTTTGCTTGTAAATCATGACGGTACACTGCTGCACCTCATGATTCAGTGGCATAAGCTGCTGACTCGTGATGCACACCGCTAGTGGTCATGGGCTCGATGCATGATGGATCCAATGAATGCGCACTACTGATGGAACATCCGTCCAGTGTCTCGCCCGGCACGTGGAGTGCTAAATAATGTAGCAGATGATGCAACGAAACTTGAAAAAATTTGACTTAAGAAATCTCCTACTCCTATGTAGATTAAACTTGAGTCTTACTGGATGACCTCTGCACAGGGAGCACTCGCTGAGAAAGTTCAACGTCTTGGCTTCATCTACTCTCTACTACTAATGCATTCGGTAGCATTCGGTACATTGATCAGATCACATAGTTGAACTGCACCTCGAATATCCAAGGAATATACCGTTTATTTATTTATTTATTTTACTCTGCATACCTGCCAACTGTATTGGGGTATCTTCAAACATTATTGTGCACTGGCAACATATGGTAACAGCTTCTGTTCTGTTAAAATTACACCAATGATTCTGTTGGTCGGTTTTGAAGCTCGCATGGATCATAGTCGACTGTGTAGAGTCAAAGTCAGTAGAAACTTATCAAGCACCTGCTAACTGGCACTTAATAGTGAGGATTTGGAAAACCTCCAATCAGGTGGACTGTCGTATGGCTGCCTGAAATATGCACGCATTAAACATAATGAACTACACATTAGTAGAAATTTGTCAGCAACAATCAATCCCTAGGATCTGGAACATGGTCATCTATTTCAGCCGGTGCATTTCTTTAACGTCCCAATAGAACTACAAGAACGATTCACCTAAATAGCTGAGAGGATAAACCTACTATGAATCAAGCACAGCAGTATGTAAGTAACGAGAAGGAGAGGGATATTTCGCCATAGCTCCAGATTTAACATTGCCAGTGGGCAAGCTAATCATTATGACCTGAATACTCACTTGTGTGACAGATGTGCTCATCCAACTCGATTTTTTCTGAAGTTGTTGACTCAAATTTTTAAGCATGCGTTTGTATGACCAGGCCGTTCCAATAGCTTCCGAACGACTGGTTGAAAGTCGATAATGCACATACTGATCAGCTGTAAAAAAACAATCCAGTCGGGATAAGCAGATACCATTCTCTTACACATGTTGCATAAGCATGCAGGTAGGGGAAGGTTAGTTGTATTCGTATATGGACGAAGTGGTTATTAATGGATCTGCGGTATAGCGGATGACTACCATCCAATCTGCTAAACAAAGTTATTGCCAGGCATTGCGTGTCCCACAGAGGAGTTGAACGTAGGCTCTCAGCGCTACTATGTTTCTTTGCTCTGAAAGATATAGTAGCAAGGGGCAGAAAGACACATTTATGAATGGAAGAGTGTTAGGCGTTGTCCAATAGAAACATTTCCATGCACAGCTATTTTTCGTGCCCATTTGCATCCAGCAAATAGAGATAGCGGAACTACGAATCCAACTTGAGACTGCCAAGTGACCGTCTAGGTTTCTTCCATAAATACATCAGACAATACTTATCCTAACGGCTAGCTACTCATTTGAAAAGTTGTTTTGAAGCAAAAGTTGTGGGAATAGATGGCAACAGGCAAGCCCAATGAGGACCGTGATTCACATCAACAAATTATCGGATTTAGTTACTGTCCCAATGACCGAATTGACAGAGATCAGCTGCAACATAAAGTTGCTGTCCTGCTCGAAATAGAATGTCGCAGTCCGTGCTGACAACTAGTGCCTCAAACCATCCCATTGCGTAACCTCCGAACTGCAATTTATCCAAAAAGTCTAGTTATTTCCCGATAACGGTGTGTTAGCGTAATAAAAATTAGGTAAAAACGAAGTATTAATGCAATGCTAATGGTGATGCTTCCAGTGTGCTACACTGAACACTTCGCATCGTTGGACTTTTTGACAGGAATTTCGCTATTTTGTCCGTCGCAGTAAGCCGAGAATTCAGATAAATCAACTAGCTATCCGGAGAAGCACCAGACGGCCGTTTCGCCCCATTGGGGCGCGTCAGTGGTGCGCATCCTTCGGTCCTCTATGGAGGATGGAACCCATGATTGCTAGTGGCTTGTGCCAACTAGCCCGCTGCTTATGCAACTGAGTCATGGAAGATGGCACCCGACCATCACGCATTGTTAGCTAACTGCGATATAGCCCGACCCATCCTTCTACTCATAAGTAATACGAATTCGCCCCTACGGATTCCATAAATGCTTTGTCGATTTATAGCTTCCGTAATCGGGAAGTCCTGACGCCGGAAGACCAACCGCTGTCATCTGAATGGCAGGCTCCTGCATGGCAGTGAAGAATGGGTCGAACTATATCGCAGTTAGCTAACAATGCGTGATGGTCGGCTGCCATCCTCTATGGCTCAGTTGCATAATCTACGGGCTAGTTGGCACAAGTCACTAGCAGTCATGGGTTCCATCCTCCGTAGGGGACCGAAGGATGCGCCCCACTGAGGTGCCCCAATGAGGCGAAACGGCCGTCTGGTGATACTCCGGATAGATAGTTGACTTCTATAAATTGTCGGCTGCCTGCGACGAACAAAAATGCTCGCCAAAATCCTTCTACACATAAGTAATTACGCTATTTTGACCGCAAGCAATCACACAGTTTTGGAACTCCAGAATTATGTGGATAATTTCCACACCAAATTGCTTACTTTCATTCGACACAGATACACAAGCTCTACAGAGTGGATAATAAATTGTTGGATTGTTCTCAACATCTCTACTTCTTGTTCAGTCTGGCAATGTTAACGAAGTGGTTCATAATTATCACGAGCACAAATCTGTATTTGCATTTGTCTGCTTACTTTCATAGTAAAACGAGAAAGCTCCCCCGGGCTATCCGATTAGCCTAAAGTAGTGCTTATCCCACACTGGTTGTGATCAATGCATTGTAATTGCGTTGCATAAGTATGAACTAGTTAACGTCTATTTATTTAGATCCAGACGCGCATCCACCATAATGTGTCCATTGAAATCGATGCTTCGCTTGATCGCTTTGTGTGGCTAGCCCTCAACATACGTCGTTTCGGTCTGTCTGTTTCGTACAAAAAGCAATCGACCTAGCCCCGTGTTTTTGCGCGCGTGTAGGTGGCTACCTCGTCCGTATTCCAGAATAATAAGAGATTTTATTTAAGTTGCGGACATTGCTCCAAACGAGAACCTACGTGGGGTGAAGCCCAGTGAGTCACACCTGAAAAGCATTTGCAACTGCGGAAAAATGGTTCGAGCTGGGATGTTGTGTTCTGGATGAAGGAAACATCTTTACGCTGTTTGCGCCCACAAATCGATGAACGATGACACGTTCTCCTTTTGGTGTGTTACAGCTTTTATGAATGTCACACTCTTTCCGTACTTGCTGTTCTGACACAAGACGACGATAAACTAGTGGCAGTGAGCGCAGAATCTAAACTTGCTTTTTGTACGTATTACACCATTGTACCATTGTTCCAATGACCTCATCCAGATCACTGATTGTTCGTTACTAACTGAACAGCTCCCGGTGTCGCTTAGGGGGAGGCCATCAACCATTCTGTCGCATTAGTAACAATCTGATCAGACTAAAATCATTCGCTCAAAAGGTAAACTCCTTCTTAAGGAGACGGACGCGGAAAAGAAAGATCTTGTGAGATTCACATTGAAAAGCATACAAAACTAATCCAAACACTGTATAATGAAAAGCTTACATAACAGAACGGAACGAAAGTATTAGACTAGCAAGTGAGGATAATTTGAAAGACTGACAAGATTTACGGAGAACTAATGCTCTTATGCTTAACTACTTTACAGGCATGTCAACAAATTCCATAAAGTATTTGAAGCATTCCTCTTCTAAACACCGTCAGTCAGCAAACGCAAACAGCGCGAAAAGTCAAAACTTTAGATGAAATTCACTTGTGCTTTCCAGAACACGGATATCACATACAATTACTTCAACAGATTATGTCACGACTAGGACGTAGCCGCACCTTCAGTGCCTCTGTGTTCACTCCTCGTGCACATGGAAGTGTAATGCTGATGTCACCTTCAACTTTGGGGAAGTCGGCAGGGCTCGCTCTTGGTGTGTCATCTAGCACCACCACATTACTTATACCCGGCGCAGTAGTATCTACCTTTAATCCACCACACGATAACTCTCTTCGGCAAACTGATATCCCTAGTCTTAAGTTAACATAACTCAAAAGTCAACTTGTATATTATGCCGCCTGTATTGCATGACGTAACCCAAGTTGCTTGGACATATGACAACGTAAAACTTGGTGCGCGCCTGTGAGACACAGAATAAGTTCACCGATATTGTTATATTTGTTGGTACGTTTACTTTGGCTTCTAATCTCTACTTTGTGGTGTTATTAAGCGTTTCTTTATTTCCGCTTGATAAATCCATCTTTCCAATGTAACAACTTACCAGACGGGAACCTCTTGCGGCTTCCTTGACTAGAAAGGTCACATAAACTGCCGTCACCCAGAAGAGGGACACTGAGATATAAGTAACGACAGTCGGTAGAGTGTTCGAGCAGTAGGAAATACCATCCAAGGCTTCGTCGTGTAGTGGATGCCGAACCGGAAGCTAAATGTGATGATACGCTATCATGTAAATCCAGCACATTTGCAACTGGGACTTGTGTAGAGCGCCAGGCCTAAAAATGGACAAAGCGATGATTGCAAAATATCACTTAAAGAGACTTTAGAGCTCCGAACTTCCGCAAATAACATGGTAAAACGTTCTATTTAACCAAAGTACCGAAAGCATGCATTACCAAACATATCGCATCCATATACTCACTTTGGTCGGAGGTAAAGCAAATTAAGTCCCTAGGGCATTAGTTAGCTTGATCAAAGGGTGTGACACAATACCTTGTGTTAAGATTTACATATAAATACTAGGTTTAGAGTACTACTACACGTGCTAAGAGACCCCAGTTGACATCAATCTTAAATGTGACCTTTTAAACCAGTTATCAACCTATTTTTGCTTTTGTGCTATCCGATATCTCTTTGCCTGTCATCCATTTCAAACGTAGGCAGCACCGACTTTTGTCTGACACATATAGGTTAGGGAACAGCAGGTGTGAATAGATGCCATACGGTGGCAAAAATCATAGAAGGCAGATGAACCTCCTGTAATTACGTGTATATCAGGCCTAAGCACAGAAAATTTTCCTGTTCAAGGTGTTAACAGGTGGGATTTTTTAAATTTTCTACTGGAGCAGATTCGTACGCGAATGGTTACATTGATCAAAAAGATATTTGCAATGATCCAACTCAAGTCAGATGGGGAAATATATCGTAGTTGGGCGATTTACGTCCGCTGTTGGAAAAACTTTGTCAGACACTTGTTAAACCCCAGATAAGAACTGTTTAATGCAGTTCAGGTTAAGCTGTTCTATCATATAATGAAATGTACTAGGTGTCTTGTTATAACATCAAATCTACCTATGAACAATACGTGTACTCCTGAAGCTGTAGTCTTACCAACAGTCTTTATCGTTGCAAAATATTTTACTGATTTTTGAAATCATTCTCCATATTTTTAGATCCCGTTTACTACACGTCACCGCTAAAGATAATCTTCATCTTTTACGCAGTCGTAGTGCTGATCGATTTTACACTATTCGTTGTGGGTTTACTGTTCTTTACTCTCTGTACGACACCCTTCGCACTGCTATACTCGGTAAATTAATGTGCTGTTGCCCTCTTCTGTCCGGCTGCCTCCGTCCACAACTTATTGTAGTTCTTTTTGCTCGACTCCACTGACCTGCTGGCACAAGTGCTGCATAGCGTTAAATTTAGCGGCACTGGTATTTACCAGTTATCCAGCTTTAACTTTCCTTATAGCTTATAATAAGACAAATGCGAATGCAGACTGTTGCGTGTTCAATGCTGGATGAGAGAAAAGTACTTCACTGTGGAAACAAATGACCACAACACCAGTTTGCTAATATGCAGTGGGAGTACTATCATTTGGAAACAGTACAGAGTGAGGCACCAGTATGAAACCAAGCAACTAGCAATGCATTCCGTTTTCTGAAATTATACGATCTGAGAAATATGAGTCCATGCATAGTGGTTTAGAAGCATAAGGAAATTTTTCACGAGAGCTTTGGCTGAGAATGGAATTATCAAACGTACATATTGTCAATTAGTGCACAAAACGGCGGAATGAGGAAAACCGTTTGTTGTCGGTGACTTATCAAAGAGTGTGACTTGTGTACTGAAAAAGAATTGTTTGGAACCATCGGTATTCCGACAAATATATTTGTGCGGAGAGAGGAAGTTGGAGAAACCATAGTGCAACCTAGTGCGTCTTATTTTGTGAGATTGCGAGATTTACACACACGACATGATATAACTACATAGTGCTAACATCACTTTCTTTGTGAACTTCCTCTTAGTAAACAAAACGATGGCTGACTCTTTATTCATGTATTGCACGCCACTTACTTATAATAAGCATGAAATGCTTAATGTTGTTATTTGTCTTTTTTCCATGAGGTTTCCTTTTGATTCTCAATTAGTATAATTAATGCGTTTGTCATTTTCACATTTATAAGACTCGTGAAAATGTTTGGAGACCCATTCCTTGCAAGACAGGCGAACTTTACCCGCATGACATTAGATTCACATCTAACAGATGGGCTGCTAGCCAACCGATAGAAAAGCAAACAATGCACTAGGTGACCAATTTGGAGAAAGTAACAGCAAAGCATTTAAAGTTGAATAAAGTATGTTTCCTTTGATTATTAGTGAAACAACCATGCTTTGACCCCCGTCAGCATATCATTCAGCCAAACGGCGAGGTTTGTTTTAGTACATAATAACCGTTGTTACATGTTATGGGTATTACCAAAAATAATGTCTCTAGTCTGGCAGATTATGCGCTTTGGTTAAGTTGGATTATCTTGATGGCAATTCGATAGAACAGTGGGCCCCATTGCCTGACACCAGCTGGCAGAGTAAGCCGCATGAGCGTCACTTAACTGGCAACTATAGTGATTCGATGGAGTACCATTCGGAAATTTGCAGGCAATTGGCTGATAATCCAGAATTGTGAACCCCACAGCACAGCAACAACAGAAATGTGCCGCTAACTACAGCATTGACCTGCGTGTTTATTAGCAACAAACTTCACGGATACTCCAGCTATAACAACTGTCCGCTCGCACGAACAGAAAGCGGGTAATTCTGTGCCCTTTTTTGATATACGCATAAAATCGGATGTGTTTCCAGGAGTATAACGCGTCGTTTTCATTATATAGTGGTTTTAGTATTTCACAAGGATAGGGTCTGATGGATCAAACTTCGTTAAACCGTCCCGAGTAATGACGCCAGCATAGTGGGTCGACTAGAGCTCTTCGAAACCGGTAATATTTAGATGCTTATCTTTTGGCACTATATCGGCAGGTTCATTAGCATTTGCTAGTTACAGCGTTCCAGTTAGGTGCTCAGTATCACGTGAAAATGTTTGTTGTAATGCTTACTCCTTCTTTACCTAAAATATCCCTACTGTTTTATGTACCTGTTTGTTGAATTTAAACAAAACTAACTTCACAGCATTTGGACGGGGGATCATGGCATTTTATAGAAATTCTACCAATCAGACGCAATGTCACTTCCCATTGAGATATAAGAAGAATTGCCACTTGATGTTAGCGATTCTACGTTGCACTAGATTGTAGCATAACAGGTGTAACCCCGCCAGCTGTCAGACTAGTTAATACTACCAATACCACCACGGGACTCATAACCCCATCATTTGTCCAACTGAAGAAAGCAGCCACTGGTACCTCAAAAAGGAGACCATGAAAATACTATAATTTTCTGACTGTCATATGCTTCAATGTGACTAAATCCGGGGCGAACTCCATACAAGGTACTAGACGACACAAAGCAGTGGGACTCCCTGTGTCAACTACTTGGGGTTCAAGCTAAACCACTCAACATGAGGCGCCTCGTCCGTCACCCAAACTCCGTACACTACGGTGCACCGCGGTTACTCCAGGAAACATTTCAGTCTGGTGCAGATGCGGAGGCAGTTCTCTTGTCAGCCACTCGCCTCCGTAACATCACATGCACTGCTCGAATATTTCCAAATGTTCCTTGGAGCGAACACCAGAAACGCAAACAAAATCCGGATGACTTCCGTAAACAACAAGACGCAAAATCTATCCTTGTTCACGATGTCTCAGAGCTCCAGTCACTAAGCGAGCTAGAGCCCGAAGCGCATGACTGGGTTGAATGGCGTTTTATTCGTAAAGTACTCTCACTGGAAAACACTATCGCTAAATCCACATCAAGGTTACCGCTATCACCTAAGCACAAAGACTGTGGTCCCCGAGTGAGAAAAGTATCAGTGCACTCTGCACTGATGGCAGAACATGTGATCAAAAGTTAACACAAAAAGCGTAAAACGCCCCCATCCGATATATGTATGAACTCGATAGGCACCGGACCACACATATAAAAGGTAACACTGAGCAGGCAACTTACCAATACTATTCTGTTACCGTGTGGCTCGGAACAGAAACAAAGACAAAACACATCAGCAGCTGAAGGAGGACAAGATTGTCACCCACTTGTGGGTGCTGGGAGCTCAAGAAAACGACATGAACTGGCCCTAGAGCTTGTGTCATCGGTCCTAAAAAATACAACCGGCAGCCGACCCCGCAAGGGTCGGTATAGACACTCATCGGAAACCAGCATTCACAAACACGCTTCTGACCACCTATGCCCTCACTTACTTGTATACCAATTCACAAGGCCTCCTCAGTAAGTTAACCGAACTTCGTATTCGCCAGGTCACCACGCCTTGGGACCTATTTATGGTTACCGAAACATGGCTGGACACGGAGATCACGAATGCTGCAATTGCACTACCGGGCGTGACTTCCACACGAAACGATCGACCTAGCGGAGGAGGGGGAGTGCCCCTGTATTATCGATCTGACCTGCATATTGATGTCATTGAGGACCCAGAAACGCAAGTCGTCGACACTCTTTGGTGTCGTATGCACCTGTGGGGATGTGTGTTTACTAGCAGTAGTTTACCACCCTCCAATGTCCACCTCAGAAGTGGATCAGTGACTAGCTTCTGCGAAGAAACGAGTCCTGGCACGATCACACAGTCACATACTTCTGGTGGAGGACTTCAAACTGCACACAATCGAGGTTCCAGCATCGCACAGCGAGCAATTCAAGGCTGATTTGCAAGAGGTGATTGCTGACTTACCTCTGTACAACCATGTCACCTCTCCCACGCGATTCTGAAAGGGTGACACACCCTCTGTTTTGGAGTTCTTGCGCCCAATGAGAAACTAATGGTCGACACCGTGACCATAGATGCACTACTTGGTCGTAGTGAGCACGCGAGGTGGCTATTTTGTTACATCTGTTACTCGGAGTACATCAGACAGAATAATGTGGAAACCTATGTCCTTCCACATTACGATATGCTGTCTAACCGCGTTCAACAAACCGACTGGTCCTTCCTGGCCGAGAAGCCACCCGATGTCGCAAGGAGGGTGTTTGCCACCCAATTCACTGGGCTGGTGGCAAATTCGTCAGAAAGCAAGGTAATTCCTTCGAAGCAAGTAAATTCGTTTCTGAGGAGCCGTATTAGGAAATACATGGCCTTAAGGGATTAAGCCTGACGCACTTACAAAGTCTGTCTAAGTAATCTGACCTGGGATACTTACATAACTCAACATAACCACTACGTCAAGTTGATCCGCGAAGACAAACTCCAGCGCCAACAGAACTTAGCAGATAAATTCAGTACAAATCAAAAGCTGCTGCATAGACACGTCAAGAAGTTCGGCAGAGTTCAGCGCGCGATTCCAGTTTTACCTGCAACAGATGGTCTTGCGCAAACCGCACAAGATGCGGCCAGCTTTCTTCGCCTACAATTCATCCATACTATCCGGAGTGAATCATCATTTCATCCGCTTTTGGCACAGCTTCCATCGCCATCAGGGGTAAACCACCTATCGTTCACGGCAGTCAATTTGTTGAAAACGCTAATGTTATTCCGCGTGCATAGCTCATCTGGCGTGGACTGCATCAAACTGTAAGCATTGAAGAGAAGCCAAACCATTAACTCGGTGCTTGCAACATTGTCTCGACGAAATTAAGGTTCCCACAATGCGGAAACATGGTATAATCACTCCTAATAACAAAAGTGGTAATCGTGCGGAACCCTCGAACTACTGTCCAATTATTCTCTGTTTTTTCCGAATTAATGGAATAAATAATTGCAGAGGCGCTCAAGGAATACCCTGAAAGTAACAACATCCTAGTGTCACACCAACACGGATTCCGCTGCAATCCATCCTGCACTACAAACGTGCTGCTAGCCCGAGCAAGGTGGACAGAGTCAGCCGAGGCCCGAGTGGGAATCGACGTTGTCTACCTGGACTTCTCGAAGGCGTTCGAGCGTTTGGACCACCGCGTTCTCCTTCACAAGGTTCGAAGCTGTGGAATCAGTTAACCGGTGCTCGGTTGGATGGGCAAATTCCTCACTCAACGTCAGCGCTGAATGTGGAAGTCCACAGCTCTATTTTCGACCCAATTAATGCCCAATGTGGCGTGCCTCAAGGATCGGTACTAGAGCCACGTTCATTGCATGTATTCATTAACGATCTTGCCAGTGTACTGAAGTCAAATTTCCCACTATTTGCAGATGATGTCAAAACTTGGCATGATATCAGAACATTGGATGATCACATGGCGTTCTAAAGCGATCTAGACAGGGCTTATGCGTGGTCATCCGATAATCAGCTCCGGTTCGACGTGGCCAAGTGTAAAGTCGTAAGCATACGCCATCAACTTATCTGTGAATATCGACTTGGGGACCAGGAGTTACAACATGCATCCTAAGAAAATGACCTCGGGGTGTTCGTGCAGTACGGTCTTGACTGTTCCAGCCAGGCTGCTAATGCATCAAAAATGCCAGTCAACATCTTAGAGTCTTACGGAGGGCTTATGGAAATTTCAAGCCATCAATCTTTCCGCAAAGGCTGAACGCGTACGTGTGGCCAGACCTTGAATGTGCTGTCCAGGTCTGGCATCCCTAGCGCAAGCTCAACGTCGATGCACTTGAAGCACCACAACGTAGAGCAACCAAACTCGTTAGAGAATTGTTTCATCTCTCCTAACAACGCAAACTGCAGTCCCTGACATTGTACAGTGGTGAATATCGACCTCAGTGAGGAGACCTAATCATGTTTCACTTAATACTGACGAACCCAACTCACTTATGTCGCAATCTCAGCCAACCTACGAAACTGAGAGAGCGACAACGCAAACTGGCTACGCACTACAGTCGACTTGGTTGTCGACAAAAGGTTTTATCCCTCCCTGTGCTCCGCGTCTCGAAAGACCTTCCGACTTGGATTATCCTTACCACTACATTAACGCTATTCATCTAACGCCTTGATGAAACGATTTCCAACTTAATTTCTGGATATGGTCCGTTCCACTTGGAGGACGAAATAACGCAAACCTAACCATGTGATTAAGGACCATCTCCGCAACGTGGCGGTGAGGATACATGCAGAAGTGTCCATGTGAGTAGCCTGGATGTACCCAACCTGGATTTACAAACCACATCTGAAAATGAAGCAACGCCCTAGTGAGCATTGTCGTTTCCTTTTTCTTTCTCACGCATTTAATGAACTTTAATGGCACACTATACTATTTTGTTTGGGCACATTCCATTTCCACTTCAAACTCTCATTATGCAGTAGTGCATTTAAATCGGTAGACGATTAAAATAACCATTTACTTATTCGCAGCTCCTCTCAATTTTAATTTTTACTCCAACCACCCTACGGAACTTGTCAAGCAAATGCGTTTTTACCCATGATAAATCATTGTTCCTTGTTCACGTATCTGGAAAGCGGTATTAGCACACTTGGGATCAAAAATGAACACTATAGTGAATGCTCGGTGTGTTTTTGCCTATCCACGCAACCTGTGGCTTCGACCCGAGTCACTCTCGCCATGAATGGCAAAGTTTACCTTACAGCTAATCGTTCAACCCACCTATAAGGTTGTGAAACTTGACCCATCAAGTCGACAGGCATAACCAGTCTAGCTAGGTTCCATCATCGATGCCTTCGCCGCCTTCGCCGCTCGGCTCTTGTCTGGTGGGAACACAGCGTGAGCAATGAATTCGTTGGCCACACATATTTGGTGCGGGAAGAACGAGTGAATCGTTTAGCACCGTTATTTCGCGTACCAGGCCCCAATGGCTGAGCCACGTGTCGCGCATGCCAGCATACCGACTCGCTCGACTTACGTTGTTTTAGCGCTCGCAGTCTGCATGGAAAAAGTGGAGCGAAGGTCAAGCGATAACTTGGTCAAGATGAATGGAAACTTTTACTTCGAAGTTCCCGCCAGTTGATGCATCTAAACATCCGGGTTGGGATAAAGAACACTTTTGGTTGGATACACTTGCTGATATGGTGAAGAGCCGGCCCAATGGCGTTTGTGTTGTGAGTTTCTTTGTCCATCCTCCTATTCTTACATTCCCCACCAATTACAGTCTCGTACCAAATGCAAAATAGGATATTAATATTGTGTTATTACGTTATCTTTTTAAGTCTGTAATGTTTAGGCCCTTGGATATTCTGTATTACGGCACATTAGCCGATGTACTTTTCTCCCCCACGGCTGACGTGTATTGATTGAGAATGAAAAACAGAGTATGGTGCATCAACAACTAAGTTTTGTTATATAATTACTTTTTTGAATTTAAGAAAGCACTACTTCTAACTCACTGTGGAGAAATCTGAAAGAGCACTCATAACCGCAGACAACCAAGGACTGCAATCGAAGCAGTGGTCTGCGGATCCATCGGAAAGACCACCGAGGGACGAAGTTCTTCGGTCTCCCAGTGCTGCCTTCAGCCCCATACTCCATGCAACGCACTCCAAAGCTGAACTTGGCTCAAGATGTGAATGAAGGCTATACAGCAGAGAAGTTTGGTATTCCGGAAACAGTGTAGTTGGCGAGAGCCGCAGAAACTGTCTCAGTAAAGCTTCCGCGCGGTTAGCTGCTCCACCTAAGGGATAGCCAGTCTTCAGCGCTGTTTGATCTGATATGTTCATGCTCTCGGATTTACCATACATGAGAGTAGTGAGTGCAAAATGTGTTCGCATTCGACAAGCTGTCGCACAACTTTGAAAAGCGTGCATCAATGCAAGCGTTACTGGGGCAAGCTGTTTGTGTGACCCGCCGACACAATCCAAAAGCGATTCCAAAGCGATTTTGGCAATGTTCTGTAGAGGAATACAGAATAATGGCTTAAATAACTGCGGAGTTATTGATACTGTCAAACTGTGAAGAAAATGTTAAGACTGTATCGGATGTGTATGCTTATATAGGCAACAATAGCTGCTAAGATTAGCTTCCACAGCAAAAGTATACAATAAAACGATGGTATATTAAGGGCAAAGAAGCTGCTGCTTAGTAAATTCCGTAGGTTGACCAGAATGAGAATCACAATATGGTGCATAGAAAACAAACGGCTAAAATTTATATCATTTTGGTCTACTCACCACAGTGCTAACATAGAGGCCTGCAGTACGAGCCGAAGTCATTTGTGTAGGTTAATCCTGCTTGTGCGACTTTCGTCACATTATATCATCTGTCAAGACACACAAGCTATATCTCGTAATGTAGGTGGGTTTGGGCAACTTCAAGATGTTTGTTAAACACAGGTAAAGTGGGGGCGGAAACAACATAATTTGGGAGGGCGTTCTATGGCTGGAACACTCGAAGAAAAGCTCCGTCGACATTCTAACCGAATTAATTGCCTGGCCAAATTTAACTGGTGATCCCTCGAATTCTTGTTGTGGCTGAACTGCAGTAGGTAGCGTCAGACGTGGTTGAGGTACCTTAGAAGCTGTTAGGCCATAATAAAGTTACCATGTAAGCGTCGACACCGGAAATTGTATAATTATAGGGTCCTCCGCCTAGGTTGATAAGGAAGGTTAAACAAGCCTTTGACTTGCTTCGCGACTCCCCGTTGTGGAGTCTAAATTGCAGCAATAAAAAGGCAGGGACGCTTGCCTTAGTGTATTGCTGTACCGCCCTCTAACCCTACACTCGAAACCGACTGCTACCTAGCGGCTGCTTTGGGTGGCTGTTTACGACGAAAGTACACTCACATACTTATCAAGGGTGATTTCAAGTTACATTGTGTAGAAACTCCTGCCAGGAGCGGAGAACACTTCAAAACTGATCTACCAGATCTCGTAACCAGTGTTCCTATTTACAATCACATCACTTTGCCCACTCGGTTCAGAACAGGTAACAGGCCATTTGTGCGGGATCATGTGCTTATCGACGAGGAGCATTTGATTACTGTATTGGTTTTAGACTGCACGTTGGGTCGCACTGATCAAACAGTGATCAGTTTCAACTTCGTCTGCTATGTGGAATATCAGAATGAGAACGATGAGACTGCGAACCATCACAAGCAACGATCGATTAGCCCGTCTCGTCAGCGCTAAAACTTCGTCGTTCCTTGCCAAAGAACACCCGGATGTCGCCTGGCTCGAGTTCGTCAACAAATTCAGTCAGCGGATTGCAGAGGCTTCAGAGATAAAAGTTTGCAATAAATGTACAACCGTTTATTTCGTTAGGAGCAGTACTCTAACATGGACGACAGTATGAAACGCAGCATGGTGAGTGTACAGAGAAGCTCAAGTACCAGAAGCTTTGAACAAGTATTTAGCCTAACTTAAGCACTGCACTCAACTGCTAAGAGAAGATAAAGCCGCCTATCAGCAGAACGGCACAAAAACCTTCAGTGTTAACCACAAACTGCTACACAAACACGTCGATAGCCTACGAAATATGAGGCAAGGATTTTCGCCACTCAAGATGGCTGATGGTCTAACAAGAACGGTTGTGGAAGCAGCGAACGCGCTGCAGATGCAATATGCACCCACGTTTCAAAGGGTCCTGCCACCAAACGACCATCCGAATTGTGTCGTCTCCTCGTCAGGACTAACCCACATCACTTTTATCGCGGAGGCTTTATTGCAAAAGCTGACGTCTCTACTCAAACCCAGCTCACCAGGTGTTGACACCATTCGTTCAGAGGCAGTGAATGCAGCAGCAAACCAACTGACAGGATGTTTAGCGCAATGATTCCAGCGCTGCTTTGACCAGAATCAATTTTCCGCTATGTGGAAGCTTGGAATCATAACCCCGATTTGCAACTGTGGAAGCAGAACTGATCCTTTCAACTACCGCAGAGAATCCCTTCTTCCTATACTATCCAAGGTCATGGAATCAATAGTTGCCGATGAACCGGTGTACTATCTGGAATACTGTAATGTCAGCAAGTCTGAGCAGCACGGTTTCCGTCAACAACAGTCATGTAAAACTAATTTACTAATTGCACGCAGTAGTTGGACCGAGGCAGCTGACGCTGGAGAAGGTGTTGACGTGGTCTACCTGGATTTTTTCTAGGCTTTCGATCGTCTAGACCATCGGATACGACTCGCCAAGCTTCAGCATTACAGGATCGGCGATCCGCTTTTAAACTGGATTGCCAATTTTCTACTTCAACGGCAATAACTCGTCAGAGTTCAAAGCTCTTTATCGGACCCCATACCAGTCGAGTGTGGCGTACCGCAAGCCTCAGTTCTAGGTTCACGTCTATTGTTGGTGCTCAGTAATGAACTTGAACGGAATCGCTTCAGAATTCCTCATGCTTGCGCACGATATTAAGATTTGACGCAGGATGTAGGCGAACGCCGACAAACATGTGTATCAAAGGTCGACCCAAAACTTACTGCATTTCAACCTCAGTAAATACTTTCCCTGCGCCATCAGAACAGCTACTTATACCGGCTCGGAACGAATATACTACAACCATCAACTGTTTAACATAACTTGGGTCTTCTGGTTCAAGATGACTTGGGTTGCTCCAGGCAATCCGAAAAGGCCTCGAAGACTGAGAACCAACACGTCGGGCTGTTGAGACGGACGTTTGGACGAATAAACAGCTCCATATTTCTACCAATGCTCAATGAGGATGTTCTCCCCAAGTCGAGTACGCAATTCAAGCCTGGCATCCATGTCTGAAACACGACCTTAATGCACTAGAGCAGTCACAACATCGGGCATTTAAGAACGTAATTGGAATGCGCAATCTTTCCTACCAGGAGAGACAGAAAGGATTTCGGGTATTCAGTGGAAGCTATCGCAGACTACGAGGCGACCAGAATATGGCATACTTGATTCTGCGAGACCCACATCATGCGTGCCGCCCTTTACTACGGCTCAGCAACCATACAAACCTGAGGCGCCACTTATTGAAACTCGCTGTACAGTAAAGCCGTCTGGAGGGGCGCAGAAATTTCTTTTCCATTCTTGCCTGTCACGCGTGGAATGCTCTCTCAGAATCGGTCTTCTCTGCACCGACACTAACTGTACTTAAAGGACGGTTGGATGATGTGCTCATCCAATTACACTTTGTCACTTAGCACTACGTCTCCGACCTACATCTGGAGTTTACCACGGAATTATTTAACGTTAACTGCTGGTGCTGTGAATCTAAGCGGGTTGCTGGACTACGAAGAAGCAAACGATAATTCCTTATCTTCATATTTAAAGTACTAACTGTTTTACTATCACTGCTCTTATTATTGTCATGTCGATATACCCACAAACTCTCCAACGGGACTTGTAAAGTAAAGCTTCTTAACCCGTATAAATTCATTATTCGACTGGCACGCGAGACCGGACAGTCTACAAGCACACAACTGTAACCTGAACACTGTGATCTTACCGACAACATCAATAACAGAACGACATTTTACCATAGGGGTGAGTCATTCAAATGCTTCGTAACATTTGCTCAACATGCGTGATGTCCAGTGCGCCACCGACTAAAGACCTATGTGGATCATGTTCCAAACTTGTTCAGGGGGGCATTTTGTGCCGTACTGTTTGCCTCCGAGTTAAACCTAGTCAGGCCAAGTTATTAAACAAACCAGACTCTCCATGACTATGTGCAATGCACATCTGTCTCACTGATAAAAAGCGTGCTCCTGTTATCTCAGAAGTATGAACAGCCAAGTTTGAGGAAATGGTGACCACCAAAATCACTACGGTCGGGATAAGCATAGCGGCATGTGCAAGCCAATCCTCCCCCTTGGTTGCAGCTCGTAAGCCGCGAAGAACTGTTAATAACACCGTAAGCAATACGACACCTAGAGTCCAGAACATCAACAGCTGTCCCTATCCCACACGCAGCTCACATTTGATTAAAGCGGTTCCCAGTTTGATCAGAGTAACTACACGTAAGGCTACTTCCAAACTCCCGACGGAGTGCGTAGTAAAAGAGAAAGCCGATACAAGCGAAAGTTGAGTTACGGTTGCCTCCAAGAAGAGCCGTCATTTAAAAGTAACATCACCCCCAACTGGATCGGAAACTGAGGAGCGTATTGGAGTTTTCCTACTGCAAGCACCACCGGTTTCCTGTGGTACATATCCGAGTACTTCAATCACTAACCGCGACATGTCGAAAGGTGTAAAGAAACAACCACCTGTACTGAACGTACTGTGCTCCAATATCTTAGAATCAAAGTCGACATCGATAAGAGGCAGGCAGTTACATGACCTCAACCAGTGGGACATTATTAGTAATCTAATCGGAGTTGTACTAAACCTGTACACATAATGCGTATTACATGACACCCATCTCAAAACATTTCGGTGAGTCAAGACTTCTGTGCGTTGTGCTGAACTCCATCACTGAAGTAGAATCAGTACTACTGTCGACAGGTAGTCTCAGAAATGAACGCTGCTACATCCGTATCTTTCCAGACAGCCAGTGGGGTGAACGCTGTCGAGTTAACCGCACATTAGAGGACTACCGGAAGGAAACTTCAACCAGAACCATACTTCTTCATGGGGTTCCTGAAACTGAAACATGTGATGAGCATGAAGTAACAACCCATGATAAAGAACAGTGGTGTTATATTCTTGAAACACTTCGCTCGGATGATGTGTTAGCGAAATCCGTGTCACGACTGCGTGCCTCACCGAACTACAAAGAAAGTGACCCGAGAGTGTTGAAGGTGGTCCTTCAGTCAAAACATATGGTAGCACGGATGCTAAAAACTGATACATGTTCCGTTGCAGGCTACCATCTGAGGTTCGGCTGAAGACAATCAGCGATAAGCATCCTAGAGATGATATGCCACTCAAAGAACCAAACGCGTTAGGATCTATGGAGGTACAATGCACCAGTAGTGTGC